CTTGAATATTCATAAAACGAATCAGTAAGAAATTTCAAAATAAGACCGGTATGCAAAGTATCTTCCGAGAAAAAAATTCTTTTTTTTTAGTAATATCTAGTGACGGGATGAACGATGACCAAATATTGCAATTATCAACGCCTAGCTTGTTTAGACATCGCTTGACATTAAAAGCCCCCAACGTCACCCCAAATTGCACACTTTAGGATGAGAAATCAGACACGAAATTGCTCTAAACACTCATATTCTTGATGTTAGATAAATGACTTCCTGGCTGTGCTACAATAGACGCATAGAGGCATCATTATTCGCTGCGACGCAAGAATAGACGCTGCCGTGGGAGTCTCTCACGCCAGTATTACGGATATATAGTTTTTGTTTGTTCTAATTAACAGTTTTTCTAATAGCCTGCTTTTACCTTAATCGCTGTGCTAGTTTTAAGTAAAAATTATGTATAATTTTTTGGTAATTTTTGTGGCGAAATTTTTGGTAATTATAAAATGTTATTATTATTGTTACAAAGATCGAATAAAGAACACAGAAAAATTCCTTCGACTCGACTGAACATTAACCAGCCCCTATCTACCAACCCGAGAGATAGGGTTTCCAGAGAGACTACAGGTTCGACGGCAAGCCCAGGGTACAGCATACGTCCGGACCAAGCCCTTCCAGTGATACGCCTTCACAGGCGTCTCTGTTGGACCCAGGCTTGGGTATGGAGCTGCAGAGACGTCTGTCTGCCCCGATGTTTGTCTGCCCCGGCCACACCGGGGCGTCTGTCTCGTGCGCAGCTAGCGCGTCTTAGTAGCGGTCTAGTTGAGGGCCTGAAGCAAGGAGAGCGCGGGACACGTGAGTTGCCCTTGAAGTTGGAAGCTATTGTCGCAGGACACTGCGACTGGCATCTCCGCCACTAACCCGGAGAGCCAGTAGAGGATAAGCTAGATAACCTCCGGTCCCTCCAGCCACTTAGGTTATAAGGAACTGGAGAGACGTCGTTTTTCGTTGTCGGGAAGTGAACGTGCCTTACAACTCCTCCACCAATGAGGAGATTTGGTAGTGGACTCAAAGTCGACAGCTAAGCGGCCGGCAGCAACCGCTAATTGTGCAATGCGCAACGGGACATGAGCTTGCCTACAACTCTGGTACTTCCGGTACCGGCTCACCCGAAGCACTAGCCTCTCGAGAACCGGATGAAATCAAATGACAGACATTTGTGACACCCTGTACACTGACTAATCCGGGGCCAGAACTTGAACTTATATGGAACTTACATAGTGCCCGTCTCGTATAACCTAAGGGTCGATAGGGAGGGTCACTATAATCAAAACTAATGTAGAAAGATATGGGGCTGGACATTTCCAGCGACTCTTGCCTAATATAAATAATGGTAATAAAATCATCATGATATTCAATAAAAATAAAAATACTGCAATTATAAAACGCTTGAATATCTGTAAATTGGGTAAATTGTCTCTAAGAGAAAGTTAATCTAGGTCTTGTATGTTTTGACAACTGAACACAGACTATACATTCAAATAATAGCAATTCTATTTGTGATGATGAAGTACTTTATATTTTGCCTACCACTGTACAGAGAGAGGTATATAATCTGAGGTAAGTACGTAGTTTAAAGGCAGTGTGTTTTGGTAAGCAGCCGAGTGGAACCGAACAGCATTGGTGGACGAAACTTCTTGGGCGGAGACTTTAAGGTAGCTGGGCTGGTTTAAATCTATTGACGAAACATTGTTACGCGTGGCGATTTTCGCATTCGCGTAGCTCAGCTCCTATTCCATCTGTCCCTATGTACTGACCCGAGAGATTGGGAGTTCCGATGAGACTACGAGCTCGCCGGTAAGACCAAGATACGGCAGGCGTCCGGGCCAAGCCCTCAGCCAGTGATACGCCTTTAAGGGCGTCACTGGTGGACCCGGACTTGGGAATAAACTCGCCGGGATTTTAAGTCAGTTAAGTTTGAATAGCATAAATTTTTAGTAGCAGTAGAGCTCCCTGTAAAAGAGTTCCTTGCCTATTTCTACCGCCTAGTGTTAATATGAGCATTATTGCATTCCAGTTTTGAAAGGTAACGGTGCTGGTAAAATTATAGGCACATGGGACTTATTAACTTATGTCTCAAGGTGACAAACGCAGTGGCAGTGCCCCGCAAATATTTGTGATTTAAATCTCTGAGTGGCACTGCAATTTTTATGGACAGGCGTGTCGCTTACCACCAGGCGCACGAAAACAATCAGCTTAATACCTAGTATTTTGAAATACATAATATATCAAACACAACCTTCATGTGGCCGACTTACGTCTTCTCCGGTGTGGGTTGCAGGGGGGCCATGACCCCAGTCGGCACAGCAATGAAGGCGGCGGCGAGCTCCAACTAATAATTTTTGTTTTACTTGAAATTAGAAAATAAATTCCACTATTTGAGAAAACGATATTCTGAACAACACAAAGATGGCGCCGACAGGCTAACATAAAAACAATCGAGCCGAGTCTGCCCGAACGATACTTTTGTAATTTATCTGCCTCCGTGGCCGAACGGTTACCATGCCCGACTGCCACGCAGAGGTCCCAGGTTCGATTCCCGGGCCGGGAGAATTATTTGTATGGCCTACATTTTTTTCTCTCGTGAGTTTGGGTGTAATTTGTGGTTGTCTGTGTGTCCATGGCACTCGCGACACAGGGTTTCCCTAGTGCGGGGCTATGTTGAGTGTGTACGTTATTATTATTATTATAATTGTGAAAATAGAGAGATCAATAAATTTAAGATTGGTCTAAAGAGTAGAGTAGTAAAGCAATGGTTGGCCCTGGGCGGCAGAATCAGCACTACGCCATTGGTGCCACGAAGAAAATGTGGAAGAAGAAAGAACATGTAAAGAGTTTAGGTAAATGCAAATGTAAACATTACAATTTAACGCAAATGATGCTCCTGTTTTGTATGTCGTTACTAAAAAGTGAGGTATTTAAGGGTTGAACAACACTTGTGCATGGCAGCGCATGCACGAGGCTTTTCCTTTTATGTGGACTTAGGTTGCTAATACTTTGTAGCAAAGTATATATGTAAAATTAAATTAGTGAAATAAAACGCAACAAATAGATTGTGACTCATGTTTACAACCACTCACAAATGCAACATTTTGACTTTTAAAGCGAATAAAACAAGGATATTGTCTTCGTACTCATGGCATGCTTCGACAATTATACACGTAACTTAGTTCCCTTACTGCTACAATAAATACATTGCTTTTAAACAGTTAAATAATATTATCGTACCATGTTCTATCTAAGTAATTTTTACTACTGTTGTTTTGAAATTTAAATTCGGGTGTATTTTTTGCCATCTACAGACATAAAACTTGTAAAACACTGTTTATTATTTGCTAAGACGCTTCCGACTTTTTAACATTTTCAATGAATAGTTTCATTTTCCGTAGAGTTAAAAGATATTCCTGGTTTTGAATTGGCCAACGTGCTCAAATTGTAGTAGATCATTGAAATATGGCTTCCCACGCTATCAAAATAAAATTTAATCCGACGAGAGCTGGATAACCTATTTATTGGCAGTCAAAAAAATAGCCAGGAAACACAGATAAGCCTAGTTTACTACATAAGCAAACTTTTCAGCACTGTGCATTGCATAACGAAGAAATGTAGGACAATCCTAATTATTCGTACCTAAAACTTTCAAATGTTGAAAGTACCTCATTATAATATAATTTTAGATATATTGTAATGAGAATTGTATAATAGGCTGATTTACAAAACGGTGCTGTGTTTTAGGGTCTAAGAATATCTTTTAAACGATGAATTTTACTTAGATTGAACATACTATAATGTAACACTATGTTAGCTGATTAAAATGATTTAAACATATATAATAAATATGTATATAAAATACCTAACCTTCGTGTTTGATACAATAAACGCTTCCTTTATTTTGTATTCCCTTTCATTCTAAACTTATTAAGCAAATAGGCACTTATTTAAGGCAACAATAGCTAAAGAAAGTTATAAATGAAAATTTATCTTTGCTTAATTTAAAAAACATTTAACAGATCTTTTTTAGTTTTACTCCCAAGTAAAAAAAATATACCCATGATTCACGTTATTTTTAATTAAAAAAAAGTGATTTTTATTTCCTCTATGTCATAATCGAAAAACAGTTTTAAGTACAAATGTCGTAGAGCAATAATTGTTAATATTTCGGGAAAATTGTACTTAAATACACATTCGATTATGTAAAATATACGTAAGTTATAATGTCCTTAACTAAACTACAAATAAAATACAATATTTGAATATGTATAAGCAATCGAGTAACATCTACGATTTTTTTATAAATAGCTATAAAAATATTTCATTTACTTATATCTTATGTTTTGTTACGGACGGATTACATAATAATCTACGCACAAATTGTTAATGCTATTCCGAAGCAAATTCTAAAAGCTAGGCAAAGTTATTGTTCTTTGAAGCCGTGACAAATTTAAACTATTACAAAAATCTATAGCACGACTTAGCACATTGTAAGATTAATGCGCATTAGGGGGTCAGCACACGGAATCACCTTGAAGTCGTCAGAAAATGCTGTGCAAGGTGCCTGTGATTCGTCTATCGTCGACAATGACTTTTTCGCTCCTATTGCATAACACAAATATTCTTTTGACCGGTTAGTTCGCTCATTACGCGCTTAATCTGATGACGTCAACAAAAGAACCATTCCTTTACTAAAGTTAAGCTTAGGACGCCTTCAAAGTAAACTCTTGTAGAAGCGCTGCAGTGACGCTATAGCACGTCTGTAGCGCTTCAGTAATTGTTAGTTCACTAATTGTGATTTGCAGTCACAATTAGTGATTAGATTTGCAGTCATAGTTAGTGGCGCGCGCCTGGTCACGATAGTGGCGGCGCAAATGCGTTTCTAAGTATTGTATGAAAATTAGTAGTGGCGCGGTTGCAGCGCCACTGCAGCGCTTATATAAGCCCTGTAATTTAAAGGCGCCCTTAGGCTTAACGGTGCATGGTAGCAATATAATTTCCGAGTAAAGAATACTAAACGTAATTACTTGTTAACTTTAACATATATAGCAATCTAGTACTGAAATCATCAACAGAAATTATGTTTTCTACTCACGCCAAACTTTTAGAGATTTTGCCAAAAAAATTACTTAACCCTCATTGACCGTTGTTTGTTCATATTGGTCAGCATCAGGGAGATGTATGACGTCAAAAGATCGTCCATTTTGTAGCCGAGTGATGTCTCACAAAGGAGCTTTGAGCCTCGCACCAAGTTCCCGATTGTCATGTGGAAATACGTATTGCCGGATGACCAGTTCGATATTCTAGTGAAAGGGTGGGTAACCAGAATGTCCTGAAAAGAAGGTATTGAAATTTAATAAAAGGCAGAAGTATAGAGTGTTATTTGTGAAATATTAACGCCATTTGTAATTATCACTTAGATATATAATCATACATAATCAATAACTTTCGTTCCATGGCTTTTAATAATTCATCATATTTTACTTTCGTACACAAATAAAAAAATAAGTAGATCCCTCTAAACGGTGATTATACTGTGCGGGAACAAAAGAAAGCGGTAGCATAAATACAAGTCCGAAGACGCTTGCACGTTTGAACTGCTACCAAATACAGATCTAAAAAGTGTCAGATAGTACAACAAAAGCTTAAAAGTTTAGGTTTGGTAAAATTATTATTATGTTTCGTAAAAAGTCATGACATAAAAGTTGTTGTTTATGATATTAGCAATATAACCCCGCTAGGTTGTGAGTATTTTACAAATAACCCTATAAATAACTCCGTCTATTGAAACATCGTTCCTTTAACTGTTATAATATCCATTAAAAAATCATTTCGGTTTAGCAGGTCACATCTTCAATTAATTAAGTTCATATAAAAAAAACCTAGTCATTCGACTATTAGTGGAGAATGTTAGCTTTTGAAAACTAAGTAAGATTGTGTCTTACCCATTTACGACAAAAATGAGAAAAGAGACGACATATGTTTGAATTTCATGTAAAATATTCCAGTCAAAGTGTATTTGCAACTTTGAGGACATTTTTTGATTGTTACTAGTGACAAACAAGTAACTTCTACCAATACCACAGTGATTAAGTTAATACTACAATGATTAAGTAGGTGCAATCAACCTTAGATTAAATCTGAACTGGACAATAACGTGTACCTTTGTTTGAGGATGGATCAAACTAACACCGTGTTTGTTGATAGCAATCAACAATAGTTCAGGGTAGTTTGGCTCCGTGGTCTGCTTGACTTCGAAGAACGCTGAGCCAAACGTTGGCCACCGGTAGATGACTTTCAGGAAGGTGATCTTTGCATCTTCCGGCGTCATACCAGCATCTTGGTTGTATGACGCTACGATCGCACGCTTCCAATCGGCTGAACTCTGCATCTTTATCAGATCTGCCGGTATCAGCTCACGTAGCATTTGACTAAAATAGGACAATGAGTATAAATACTTTTGAGAACGGTAAAATCACGCTTAGGTATATACCTGTGGAATTCAGAAGTTATTGCAATATCCACTATTACGATTGACCTCAGTTGCTACTGGCCATTACTGGCACTAACAGCTTTTTAAAAGACTTGTAGGTTTCCATAAAACATATGATTTTGTATTGACACTTACGGAATGCTTTGTAGTTCCTGTTTATTGTCCCCGAATCTGGCTCGATATGCCAAGGCTGCAAGTCTAGCCGCCTCTTCTCTTCCACATCGATGGTACCCACGCAACAGCTTTGGTAGCTCCTGATGGAAGTGGAAGATCACATCCGCGGCGCGATCTTTGCCCGGAACCGTGTTTGTCCACAATTTTTTCATAAAGAATACCTGCAAATTATTAGTCATAATACTTATCACAGGATTAAATGCGTAAAAATACGATCCTTAAAAACGACCTTGAAAATCAATTAGCGCTAATCCGTGTATTTAGTTTTTAAAATCGATAATATTTCAAATGATCAAATCGTACCTGATAAGTAAATTGAGGCGTGATACCGTCGCGTGTAGGTCGGGCCTTTTTGATCCAATCAGTGAGATGCCGCACGAAGTCAAAGAAAAAGTCGCCTTCCGGAACCGATATCACCTTATCGGCTATTTTAACAAACAAACTAAAACCTTCACTAGATCTGAGATTCAGTCTCTGCGCTATATTCTGGCAAAAGTCTTTCGCTCTCGTTGACGAGTCTACTTCGAACGCTTCATCAGTATCGTCAGGAAAATACACCTTATGGAATATTTGCGTCGTCTTGTGCTGTATAGCCTCGACTTCCACTTGATGCGGAGGGTACTTTCTCTGTCCGTTTCTTAAAGTTTTTTGAAGTCTTTGGAGTGAATCTTGAGCAATTGGATATCTTCTAGTTCTAAGGAAAAGTGTTAACTCCCTGAGCAGACCCTGACTACACGCAAACAATCCTGTGGCTAACCACATAAGCTCCCAACCTCTTTCCTCGGACATTCTATTACGATTATCAGTTAATTGCTTCATTAGTTGACAGTAAATTTCATCTCTCAATATTTCGTGTTTCAGCGGTCCGTCGAAAATGTGGTCAGTGTATTCATTGCCAATACGTGGTCTCTTAGAAGGAAGGTCTCCCATGTATTTCAATATAGCAGTAAAAGCGAAACATGCCTCCTCAGCCAGTTCCTCTTTCGCTTGCAACTTTTTTAGTAAGGGCTGTTTTATTGGTTCTCTACAATGTCTCCACAATTCTTCTGTGCCGCCTCGTTTGGCTGTTGATAAGGTAAGAGCCTTAGAGACAGTGCGCTTTGGTGGTAATCTAAAGTGATCCATCGCATATTCTAACAAAGTGTGCGGTTTGTCTCTGTTCTCAGTTCCATTCAAAGTAGTAGCTGCCACACGTCTTCCATGTTGAGCGCCTTCCTGACAGAATAATGTCAGTATATCGGGTGGAGGCTTGGTCAACGCAGGCAACACATATACTGTTTCTGCTGGGAAATCGCCCCTTTCCATACTCCTTTCACATCGGCCAATACACCATCCGTTGTTCAAAACAGACTCTCCAGTGCTGTCCTCTTCCAAAATAATCAGATCTCCTTTTTGGAATGTCAAGAAACTCGATCCTTCTCCCGGAGCTTTGTAGTCTTGTAACGCGATTACAAACTTAGATCGCTTTTTCAATCCCTCCAAGAAATATACAACCAAATCTCTGATATCTTCTGCATTAGGACTCTGAAAGGTAAACTCTTCGCCGCGAACTGTCGATAAGCTGAATGTTTGAGTGAACACTTTATTAGTTTTCTGACTTGAAACTGTAGTAATCTCTGGGAAGGAAAGCTCTAGTAGAACCTGTTCCTGATCATCAACAACATAAACTCCAGTCCAGTTCACAGCAATAATGACATCGTTTTTCGGCAGATTTGGCCCAGAGTTTCTGTATGCCTCATAAAATCTAGAGAACAGAAGAGGCCACTTGAATTTTGCGTAACTTACCACATCTTCTTTGACTCGATAAGCGGGAACTTTCTCTTTTACATAGTAACTCTTTTTATATGCTTGGACTACAAGAGCGCCCCATCTATCCACCGCCTTTTCGACACCTGTCAAGCAGTAGTCAGGTATGTAATTTGGAAGTAAAGTGTACAATCGTTCTGTATTCATGTCCTGGCCGTACTCGATGTAGTATTGTTGTGCAGCGATCATAGCTAGATCCTCTTCCTTGTCACATCTGTACTCTCCAAACTTCACACCCCTAACCACTTGTTGGTAAATAAGATTTGTCGCTACTTGGTCTTCCGTAGGGTCATGCCATGGAGCAAATATTTCTTTCCGGAAGAACAGTCGCCATGGTGCATTTCTTTCCTGTGCTCCCTGCTCCTTTGCATACTGTTCACATTGCGATATAGCATCCATTACGTGGTCTCCACCGCTTCCCAGTGAGCTTACTTTGTCAAACAAAGCAATGTACAAGGAAAAACCAAATTGATCTCGCAAACCAATTTTATCAGATAACTGATTGCATAATTCTCTTGCTGTTGTAGCTGAATCAGCGAGTAGTGTCTTTGTATTGCCATCCATGAATGTTATGGGTAGCATTATGGGCTTTTTAGATTTTGTAGCTTGGAGTTCTAACCACGACGGAGGCTGGTTTCTTGTCCCATTGTTGAAAGTCCTCTTCAGACGATCTTCACAGTATGGGGCATAACCTGGAGGGCCTTCTCTTATGAAAGCTCTCAGGTAATTAACGAACTTCTCGCTCGGGGCGAAACATCCGACACACAGTGAGAGTAAAATCCATCCTCTAGCGTGAGAGGATTTTGATGGATTATTTGTCAACTGTTTACAAATTTGGCAGTAAATTTCGTCTCTTAATTCTGCGCGGAGTATACCGTGGCCTATAATGAAATGGAGTTTTTCTAAGTTTGATGTTGGTCGTGACTCCAACCACGATTGATAGCTATCAGCTGTGTATTCTTCGTCCTGAAACCAGAAGTTACCAATTCCAAAATTACTATTGTTAATAATTTTGTAACAAAATCTAATAACAGAAATGAACTGACCTGTAATTTTCTTCTAACATCTTCTCCAAGTTTGTTCTTTCTCTTTAAAGTAAGTGACACCAACTTATGCCTGATAGACCTTGGTTTCTGTTTATTCAAGTACGCATCAGGGTCTACGCCCATCATTTGCGCCTCCTGGAACTCTTTGGACTTAATGAAATTCCGACCAAGTGTGGCTGTGACTTTTGACATGACAGAAGTGTTGTCTCTATCCATAGTATGGTACCTGGGCTCAGGGAGGTCTCCAGTAAAGCGTAATATAGTTATCCATAATGCTTGTGCAGCCTAAAAAATACAATTACGATTATAAATGGCTTGTTATTAATTGCTATTAAGCTGATAACGATTTTCTGCAAAGTCAAATTTGCATAAAATCATCAGGTAGGTATTCTTTTATCTGTACGTGATAATTATTTGTTTGTCTGCAAAGTTTATACTCTGTTCGTTTATCACATTTCTCTTACCAATTGATCTCCTTGTGTTTGAAGCGGTAGCAATGGGTGCTTTAAAGGCTTCCTGGAGTATTGATGCGTGACGTTTCCTTGGAAATAAGTGGCTGCAAACTTCTGGAACTTGAATTCGGACAGATCTTCCTCATCTTCTGATGTTGTTTGCATTGGTGTCACCGTCTGGAAAATAGTGACATATTTTAAAAATTAATCAAGGTTCCACTTGCAGATATTTATCTTTTCAATTATATATAATTAAGACGTCAAATAGCAATATGAACCGTATTGGGCACTTATTATATCGACCTATAGTGTAAAGTTAGTACGTAAACCTTCAAAAAACAAATAATGAAATACCTCTTGTTGATCTGCTCTCAGCTGCGGTAAATCACTAAAGACAGACGTGTCTTTCGGCGCGGGCGCCTCACTACTTGAGTCCGGCAGGAAGTCAAACATGGCTTCCACAAGCTTGCTATCATCTACGGGCTCGTCCTGCTTCCGAGCTGCTTCTTGGACAAGTGCTCGTTTTGCTTCTAGCTGACGTTTCTCTTCTAGGGCCAGTTCAGCTTCGCGTCGTTCTAGCTCGTACATGCGCTCCTGCGAAATTTTGCGTTTTAGGTTAATAAAAAACAATTATGACGTGATTTTTCCAGCGATGGAAATTGCTATTGAGCACCTATTTTTCCTAAGCTAAAAATGCATGAATTTATGCTTCTAAAGCGGCAAACCAATGTACCAAATAAATTAATAGTTTTATAAATTACATGTGAAGGCGGTAACGGATGTCCAAAAGTGGTAAATGTTTGTGATAGTGCCATTTTTGCGTCCTAATTATTTCGCGGTTATTTTAACTCTGGCAAATATTCAAAATATAAGTTCACACCAAGTTAATTAACAATTCATCAAAAATTGCTAACATCAGAACCTGTTTTTGTCCAATTACAAATAAAATTAAGACCGTAGTAATTATACATTGTTACCTACCATGTTTAGGATATTAAGTTGCTGGTTTTTATTAGTTATCTAAAATTTAACATTCTTTTATAAGTACTTACTAAACGGAATCTGTATAAAAAAATGCTTAGGTGATTGTAACGACGAGTAATTAAATGACGAGTTCTTTGGTTTCCATGATGGCTATACATTGGTAATGATACTACTTTTTGTAATCGCGTATATATATTTGTTTCATTTGTCAAACAAACCAACGTTTCAGGCTCTTCTTGTCACGGCTGACTTATTTCATGTTAGGTACTAGTCATCGAACCGCCCCATTCTGAACCATAATTACAAAAATAATCAACTCTTACCTACTTTACTTTTAATTGACCAAAAACATCTTTGTTCTATCGAATTCTTAGGTTTTCGCGATTGTTACACATAGGAAATGAAACTATTTTTCCCGATTTAAATCGCGTATATTTGTTTTCTCAAACAAACAACGTTTTGGGCCGTTTTGGGGGTCTACTCTTCTCCGTCCACGTCAAATAAGTAATACTCGACCAAATCAAAGGACAATGTCAATTATGAAGCTTCATTCGCGTCATGGGTCTTTTAATTACGTCGAGTACCTATTACTTATTTGACAGTGATTGTTTCGGATCCATGTCGGACGGAGAACGAGAGCGCAGGGCCAGGTCCCATGGTCACGGTTGACTACTTTTTGTTTTTAAATTTTTTATTAAATTGATATTTAATTATTTCTTGTGTGACATTACTCCACTATTTTGTTATAATTATTAATACAAAGATCGAACACTCAGAAAAAATTCCTTCGATCCGGCCGGATTCGAACCGACGTCTTCTAGCATCACGTGTCAGATACCAACTAAGCCACGGAACGAACCAGCGGACCTCACGAATTTTTCTATGTGTTTGTTGTCGTGTCTATGTCGAATTTTTCTATGTGTTTGTATATTGGTTTTTCAACGACTTTTTAGCCGAAGCGCGTATGAGAAATCTTAAGTATTATGTCACTCAGTTAGATACCTTTACAGTTACCAGTCCTGGCTAGAGATGTCGCTATTCAGTGTATTTAAATTTTTTATTCAATCAATATTCAAATTTTTTTGCCAATGACCATTGCTTTGTTTGAAAAAATGAAGTAGACGTGATTTTAGATATAATCCAGATCCATTCGGTTAATCATTTTATACCATTATTCAATTTGGTCTCCTGATTCTTCTGTACTGATTCGTTTTAAAATATTTCCTTTTATCAGTAAAATTTCAAACTAAAATAATTTTGTTACATATAGGAAATGAAACTATTTTTCCGGATTTAAATCGCGTATATTTGTTTTTTCAAACAAACCAATGTTTCCTGTACAGGTCCCATGGTCCCGGTTGATTGAATTTTGTCGAAATTATAAGAAGCATCCGACATAAAAGGGTCACAATATCACTATTAATTGAAAATTAGATAGCCGTAAAACTGAGGCCTAAATACTATAATTTCAGAAAATCAATTCTCCACGGAGAAATAGGCAACAAGAGACTAATCTGTAAGTTGAAACATTTACGCGATTAGTGAAGAGCGTACTATAACATAAGTACGTAATACTTGTCAAGTTACTAACGTTCAAGTATCTGTTGAATCATAAAATAATTTTCTAAGTCATTTAATATTACCAACTAATACATAATTATGTTATACCATACATATATGAACGTAGCAATAACCATCAAGAAAAAAATAAGAAATTACTACTTGCAGGTACCTAGAGCTCAACTCTCACTATAACTTGTTTATTAGCAGAAATACTGGTCTTTAACAAAAACTCGTAAGCAGTGAAACTTAAAGGGCTTAGTCATTAAAGTACCTGCATCAATTTAAGCCATATTTGTTTTCATACAGTGATTATTATTGATTTTGATTACTGGAGAAATCAGTTAGAGTTTGTTACAAATTTTGTGAACTTTAAATTTAAAGGTAAAAGAAGGTACCTAAATTCACTCGTGCCGAGCATGGAATCAGGGGCAATTACGGGGCCACTTTTGAATTTATGTGGCACTCTTGGTGTAATAAGGCTACATCTGCAAAATGACTTTTGAGAACAGAAGTTTAACGACTACGTAGCAAGTTATTCGATAACTTTTTTATGCTTAAATAGGAGAGTTGTAAAATGTGTTATTTTTATGACTCGTGGCTTTATTATATCAATGATGTAGTGTTGAACTAAAGGACTTATACAACTCCATTATTTTTCAAATAAAGATACTTTCAAGTTTTATAAACTAGGAAATATGTTAATTTCGTAAGGTAATATATAAAAAATACCATATACAGTGTTTTTTTTTTTAATGGGACAGTATGGGGAAATGCGAAACCATAGAAAATACAAGGAAACTGTCTTAGGGCCATTAAGTTTTTTCTTGTGAAAACAATTTTGGCATAGTCAATGTTTATATCTTTATATTTCCCCATACTGTCCCATTTAAAAAAAAAACACTGTATAGTTCTAACTTCGAGTTACATGCTTCGTACTCGATACACGATTAATGCAAGAATTGATCTATTAAAAATCTCGTACAGTTACCTGCGTATTGACACTTACTTGATCTATGAAGAGTATATTTTTAACATAATGAAGATCGACGCCTATATCACCGCACACGCATTTCGACCACATATTTAACATTTTTATAATACGATTTAAAAAAATTAAACATACAAAAATAGTGGAAGAATCCACTTTTCTTGTATTATTGACATTTTGCAAAATGCGTTTTAATTGTTAGACAATATACAACATTTCATTATTTTGTTTAACAAAAAGAGTTTGCAATATGTGTCTTAGATTTTAGTTATAAAAAAACTCACAGCTCTTTGTTTAACTCTACCCTTATTATGTTTATCACTGCATATTGCATTTTATATCACTGCATATTGCATTAAAATACTATTTCAAACGCAAGAGACCTATGTATTTATTTTTAGAGCCCTATATACAACACGTCTGCCTGTAACCACAAGTTAATAGATAGTGTAATGTTCATGTTACGATACCAGATATTAGGGATTATCCAACCGTGGTTAAACCACTGGTAAAATTGTAACATGTTGTGGAACCACTGTTACTAGACGTTTTGTAACATGTGTGATTGATTGACCGATACATAATATAAGATGTAATAGTAGATCCACCCTTATACCTAAAGGATATTTGGTTGATTTTCATTGCCTGAATCATTTCAAAAAATAAATCTAAACATACGAGAAGAGTTTATAAGTTTTTGCGATTGTTACACACAGGAAATGAAAACATCATTTTGGAATTTAAATCTCTTATACATATATTTGCTTTTTCAAATACGCTTTCAAGGCGCTTTACAGGTCTCATGATCACGGTCATATCTGTCAGTCAATTCCAATGGGCAGCACTCGCGAAAGCCTAACAAAAACCATGGGACATGTAAAGGGTTCGAAATGTTAGTTTGTTTGAAAAAGAAATAAACGCGATTAAGATCCGAAAAAAATATTTTAATTTCCTAAAAAAAATTTAAAATTTTGTCTTTGAAACCTGATGTCTAAGAGTTATTTGGTGGTTGAGTGATGCTCGTTATGTATGGATTGTATGGAGTAATTAAGTATATGACGTCACAGACAAATTTTGCTATTATTGCGTAACTCGTTTGTGAAACCTGTAACGATTTTATTTTCAACGAATTTCAATTCTGTCTTCACATTTGATCATTTATTTTTAACCAACTTCAAAAGGAAACCGCTTTCGCTAACCGATTTAAATAAAACTTGGCAAAAACTTATATGATATACAAACTTAGTATATAAATTTAGATGCAAATCCATAAATTTTTGTGGCCGGTTTTATTACAAAAAAGTTATAATTATTTAATGCTAATGAAACACACAATTTTTTCATACTCGTCAAATACCCTATTAGTGAGTGATTATATATCTAGTGTTGTTGATAGGTATAGTCCGCTGACAGGTTATTGGCAGCGTGCAATGTTTAGCGACGGGGAAAAATATCTTGTCAATGTTTTTTTTTCATAAAACTACGCCTATCACTCACGTGGCCAGTGCGCGTCTAGCCGCCTAACAAAGTTTTACTAAGGGCTCCTGGAAATTAGACGCTAGTAATTTTAATTCACTAATTGGTGAGTGGAAAAGTGGCGTGCGTGTCACGACAGTGGCGCTGCAACTGCGCCTCTAAATATTGTATGAAAATAAGCAGTGGTGCGGCTGCAGCGCCATGGTATCACCATTGCAACGTTTCTATAAGCGTCTAATTTTAAGGCACCCTTAGACTATGACATGGTGTAAAACTTGAAATCAACAGGAGAAATATTTCCCACATGGTGTATATTTTCAGCATGATATCTATCAACTATTTTGAAAAAAAAAAAACGATTTAAGAATTAAAACAAAGAAAAATGTTCCTATTGTATTCCAATGTTCACTTAGCTTCATTAAATTGGAAATAAAGATACAAAGATCGAACACTCAGAAAAAATTCCTTCGATCCGGCCGGATTCGAACCGACGTCTTCTTGCATACCGTGTCAGACGCTATACCAACTAAGCCACGGAACGAACCAACGGACCTCACGAATTTTTCTATGTGCTTGCGTCGTG